CACAGAACCATGGTCCTGTTCTCAGTCCAACCACAGAACCATGGTCCTGTTCTCAGTCCAACATGTGGAACCACACTGTGTGGGTTCTCACCAGGTCGTGGTTAGTGGAGTTGGAGTCATCTTCAGGAAATGGTTTGGAAACTCCCAGAGCGACACAGTTAGCAAAGATGGCTAAAAGGATGAAGATATCAAACGGTCTGAGAGGAGCGTTAAGGAACCTAAACACTGTTCTGCAGTCTGCACTTTGAGTCTGATTCATGCGGAAACATCTGAAACTTTGTGACTTTAGTTTTTCTCCTGAATGTTTGAAGAAATGTTTCAATTCACCAGAGCTCTGAAGTGATTCTGTTTCAAACATTTATTTAACAGGAATGAAAAGCAAACATTAAAACCATGAATGTTCCTTCAGGTATTAATAAACTTCATCTTTATACTTTGACTCTGACATATATCAGAGCAGAGTTTCTTCATTTCTGGAGGAAAAAACAAAGCGGCGTAATGCTGGCAACTGATTGGTCAAAGGATACTTCCACTCGACGATATGAAGGGCAGCTCGTCTGATTGGATTGTTGAGTTTTAAGCAGAACAATGCTCGTGGGGCTCGCTGGACCTGGTTACTGCCCTGCACCTGAAGAGGAAGTGACATCATTAGCTCCATTTTCTTTTTATCAGTWTTTATTTCAGAAAAACATGAAGTCATTTTGTTTCAGTTTCACAGTTGCTGCTCAACTCGATGGTGATATGATGAACATGAACATGTGTTACATGAAAACTTGATTTGAATTTATTTTCTTAATGTTCTGATTTACACAGATCAGCTGTTCAGCTTGAAACACCTGAGAGAACTTTCAGACCACAGAGAGTGAAGTGTGTTCAGATGGGTGTAAGATCTCACACTGGATCTGATGTTGAAATGGTAACTAGCATGTTCTAACCGTGTTATCTCACATGTTCTAACCGTGTTATCTCACATGTTCTAACCGTGTTATCTCACATGTTCTAAGTGTGTTATCTCACATGTTCTAAGTGTGTTATCTCACATGTTCTAACGGTGTTATCTCACATGTTCTAACGGTGTTATCTCACATGTTCTAAGTGTGTTATCTCACATGTTCTAACGGTGTTATCTCACATGTTCTAAGTGTGTTATCTCACTTGTTTCTTAGCATGTTATCTCACATGTTCTAAGTGTGTTGTCTCACTTGTTTCTTAGTGTGTTGTCTCACATGTTCTTAGCGTGTTGTCTCACTTGTTTCTTAGTGTGTTGTCTCACATGTTCTTAGCGTGTTGTCTCACTTGTTTCTTAGCGTGTTGTCTCACATGTTCTTAGCGTGTTGTCTCACATGTTCTTAGCGTGTTGTCTCACTTGTTTCTTAGTGTGTTGTCTCACATGTTCTTAGTGTGTTGTCTCACTTGTTTCTTAGCGTGTTGTCTCACATGTTCTTAGTGTGTTGTCTCACTTGTTTCTTAGCGTGTTGTCTCACATGTTCTTAGTGTGTTGTCTCACTTGTTTCTTAGCGTGTTGTCTCACATGTTCTTAGTGTGTTGTCTCACTTGTTTCTTAGCGTGTTGTCTCACATGTTCTTAGTGTGTTGTCTCACTTGTTTCTTAGCGTGTTGTCTCACATGTTCTTAGTGTGTTGTCTCACTTGTTTCTTAGCGTGTT